CCCCATACACATATACTGCCCCCCATACACACATACACTAACCCCATACACACACACTGCTCCCCATACACACACACTGCCCCCATACACACATACACTACCCCCATACACACACACTGCTCCACATACACACACATTGCCCACACTCACACATACACTGCAATAATCACACACACACACACTGCAACTGTTACACACACATACTGTCCCACACATACACTGCATCCCTGACATACACTGCCGCCCTCACTCACACACTACAACCTTCACACACACACACACACTGCTCACATACTGTCCCCCTCACACACACACACACACACACACACTGCACCCCTTACACATTGCACCACTCTCACACACCACTGCTCCTATGCCCTACTACAGCCCCATTTCCCAGCAGACCTCAGGTAAGTTGTCAAACTGTTCTTAAACGGTTTGACTACTTACTCTGGGAGGGGGTCCCGGCACTATTGACACCATAACCACTACACTGAGCTGTAGTGGTTATTGTGTCTGGATTATTTCTTTAAATAATCTACAAGTGCCCCTCCCGAGATCAGGCTCTGGATCCGCCACTGCATCCCACACTATCACATGTTTAAGGAATTAAATATGCTGATTACACATGCATCACACCCATCATATATAATGTATGTAACAATGACACATCACACACTCTTCATTGCACAGACAGCAAATCAACACACATGACACATCACACTCTAACACACATCACAAACGTGCATCACACTCATTAAAGGAACACAATAGCGTTAGGAATACATATCCGTATTCCTAACGGTTTAGTCCTGACACCCCTTAATACATTTTTCCCCTCATGCAAAAACAAAATAAAATCAAAATAAAACAAATTACTCATCCTTCTACAACGACAAGTCTCCCCCGGCTTTCCTGCGACCTCCTCATTCAGGGAGGAGCATTAGTCACCTTAGGCGAATACGTGGGGCTTGCTACGATGTTCCTAAGATTCTGCCATAAAGATTCATTGAATTCAATGATTCTTTATTGCCAACTGCGAAGTGACTGCGCATGCACACGTGACAACACGGTATAAGAACCAGGAAATTAGATTCCCGGCTCTGAAGGTGTGCCTTGATATGCCTTTAAAGCTTGTGGATTTTTAATATTATATCTGTCTATCCCTCTATTTACCCAATATATATATTTGAGGTGTGAAAAATAAAACGAAGTCCACCCCTCTATATCTACAACTGGATGCATTCATCTTGCTACCTGTCAATCATTGATATTAGTTTTGTCCTTTGCACCAGAAGTCGGCATAAAGAAGGAAACAGAGAAGAAGCTAAATTAAACAATATTTCTCCTTCTCATTTGTAATGCCTGCCTTGTCCCTTGTCCGAAAAAGATTATAATCATTTGCAATTTTTTTAATCCAAATGTAAAATAATATAATTAGGTTATATCTCATTAAGGCTAACACAAGTCATAGGTGATGATCAATGTTTTATTTATTGGTAAAAATTCCAAAAGAAACACGCATTGCATACATTACATACGCTGCATACATGACACACTATAAGGGTCAAGAGTTAAAGGGACACTCCAGACCCCTAAACACCTTAGCTTGCTGAAGTGCTTTATGTGTGAAGATGTGCCATTTGTTTATCATTTACAGAAACTCAAACTTTTAATAGAAATTGGCACTTTTATAAATTACCTTGTTAACCCACCTGGCTCGTAGTTTACAAGGGGAGGACTTGCAAAGACTGCATACAAGAGATCTACAGTTTTTGCAAGCTGTTTTCACATATATCTTCCAATACAAAAACATAATATAATCAATGCATGTATCCATAATTGACATATCCACATCGAGACATATGTACTAAACATTGCAGTGTTGTATCCCTTTAAGACAAATATTTTTTGAGTTGGTTCCTCAACTGGGCTGAGTCTAGGACAGCACCTAAATACACCATTGCCTCTTTTGTTCCGAGTAAGTTAACAAAAGTAAAACAGAAAAATAGCAGAAGAATTTTAATTAAAGGAGCCGTTGAACTAAAGGAGCTTGTTCCTTATTGGTATGTTGTGCAGAGGAATGCCGAACTCTTAAAGTGTCATCTTCCGAAAGGCAAGGTGGGACATGTATTAGATTTTCTGATGGATTGCAATGTGAACCAATGTGGAAGCTTCATCCTATGTGTAACATAGTATCCTTCCTGAGAAAGTATGAGAAGTGGATCAAATGGCCTGGTGCACTTCTGTTTCTCTTGTAGCTATTACTTTCTCTGTCAAACACTGGGTGAATTTGTTTTTCATTCTGTTTGTCTTTTTTTTTTTGTCTGTTTTTATGCCTGTTGTTTAAATTCACACCGAATATTTTGTTTAATACATTTTTCTGCAACACATTTCTTTACATCCAAATCTTTAGCTGTGATAGCCCCCCCTAGTGTTGTGATGTAGTATTACAAGGTTAAATAGAAAAAAAACAGTCAAGTGGTAATGATGTTAAATCATATGATACCAGCAGTTTTCTCTAACCTCATGACAGTTGTTTAAATAAACTAAGAAACGCTGATAAGTAATTTACGGAGAAACTGTCGCTAGAAATGTCCTTGAAACGATAGGAAATGAAATACAGCCTAATGAGGATTACTTTGGTTATATTAGTCATAGATTGTGTGGAATCTAAAGTTAATTAAACGTTAAAGGGTGGCTACTAAACATTAAAGAAAAATTCCAAGCACCATAATCACTACAGCTTGCTAGGAATCAAACAAAATCTGGGGGAGGCAGCCTTTCATAATAACTCCAGCCCCAATTAGGTAGCATACATTAAATCATGCTGTTTTCTATAGGAAAATGATATATTATCGTTATGGAGTCTACTGGTATAATTAACTCTTTTAACATGTTTTGTTCTTATCTTTCTTAAACAGTGCAACATATAATCTTAAACGCTACACCAGATGCCCCCCTAGTTCCTACACAAACAGTGTTGGTGGCTATCAGAAATGTTGTGGCCCTTGATAAAGTTTAAGATCTGGGCCCCCTGGAGCTCACCCCTGAGTCCATCCACGGGGTCCGAACCTGAGTAGGCCCACAAGGATGCAGTGTGTGTGTGTGTGTGTGTGTGTGTGTGTGTAGTGAATGCAGTGTGTCTGTGTAGTAGATACAGAGTGTGTGAAGTGGCAATAATGTATATCCCCATCTGCCGTACAAGTCCCAGGATGCTTTGTCAGCTAGGAATCTACTATTTGAACACTCTTGCAGGGTTGTATTTAACACTGAGTAGTGTATGTGTGTTTGACTGTAAGCATGTTTTTGTATGGAGTATGTGTGTATGTGAATGTTAGTGTTTAAATGCAGACGTGCATTTGTGTGTAATGTATACACTGCTACACACAGTGATACACATATACACACACATGTACAGATACATAGACAAACAAACAGTTTCAAACACAGATACACACACATGTACTCATGTGCACACTGACACACAAACTGACAGATACACATACTGACAGCTATGCTGCCATACTCACTGATACAGACACACACACTGATACTCATACACACATACAGATACACAGACACGCTGGCATACATGAAAATACACAAACACACACACAGTTACACATACATATACATACACTGAAACGTAGGTACACATACTGACAGATACACACACACACATACACTCAGGTGCACACTGATACACAGATACAAACAGACACACAGATACACAAACTGACAGATACACATACACACACAGATAAAGACAATACACTCAGGTGCACAATGTCACGGCTCCCGGTCCCTCTGCTGGCGTCGCTGCACACAAACTAAGCAGCCACGCTGACAGAGATGTTTCAGACTTACCTTGGCCCCGGTGGGCAGCTGCCGGTCTCCCTCTGTTCCGGTCCCCAGCGGCTGCAACATTCTTAGGTACGCCGGCCGCTGTGGTTCGGGCTTTTATAAGAAAAGTACCTTCGCCCACATCAAAGATGGCGCCAACGTGCGTGCAATGTTACGTCATAGACGCGCATGCACGTTTTGGGGTTAGTGGTCAGAGACAGCCAATTACAGCCTAAGGAGGGTTATTTAAACCCAAATTACCTTTTTATCAGTGCCCTGTCGTGGTTTCCACTAGCTGATTATCTGAGAGTGTGCTCCTGATCGTGTTTTTTCTAGTACTTGACTTTGGCTTCGTTTTGACTTACCTGATTTCTGGTATCCTTGACTTTTGGCTTTCTCCATCGTCTCTTTCTGTGTCCCTGACCTCTGCAAGTATTTTGACTATTCTCCGGTACGTTAAGTCCGGCCCTTCTAAGGTCCGGTTAAACATTATCCTTAGTCCTAGGTGTGATACTATTCTGCGTTCTGGATCAACAGTAATCCTGACGCACAATGACACACAAATACATACAGACACACACGCACAGACATACATACATACACACAGACACATACACATATACACACAGATAAATTCAGACACACACACACGCACAGACATACATACACACAGATACACATACACAGATAAATTCAGACACAGACACACACACGCACAGACATACAGATACACATATACACACAGATAAATACAGACACACACACACATATACACACACACACAAACTCAGATGCACACTGACACGCTCATTTTTTGGCCACCCTCCCGTTTCTTACCTTTTGGCTGCAGGAGGGTGGACTCTGATTCTCTCCAGCTAGGCCAAATAGGCAGCTCCCTACACATGCCTGTCTCGAAGGGACATGTAGCATAAGGCCATTTTTCCTTTTTACATATTTTTATATACATTTTTTATTTCGATACATGATAATTCCAAAATTGTATTTCTAGAGGGATGGAGTGAGAGGTTGACATACTGACTCTTGTGTGTCTTTGGGACGGAAGGAGGGAATGACAGAGAATTATGTGCCTACAGGCCTACAGAGATGCAAATCCAACTCTATCCTCCTGTGATATTTGTGTCAAAGTATCAGATGATATTTTCCAGGTTAGATAAGCTGTGTTTTCCTTTTCTTTGTCTGAATGAGGATGATTCTCCCCTAAAACAAGTGTTTACATATAACGTTCCAGAGCGTAAAGACCATCGACAGTTTCCAAACTCAGAGACTACGTATAATTCCATTTAGTATGAGACAATCTATGTTAGAATGATTGCATGTGGTGGGGGCCGGGGAAATATGCCCTGCTGTCCAACAGATGTTTTAGATTTGTTTTTTGTTTTTTATTCTTTATTTATAAATGTCTGTCTTTCACTGTCAAAATAACCAATGGCTAACTGTGTATAAACCAGTTTTGACACATTTAGCAGCAGATGTTATAGGTAGCCACCCAGAAACATTTTTGTGAGTTCAGACACATTGATCGTCAGTGGTGTTCAGCACTTAGATGGGGCTCTGGTACTTGGTTACAGGGGGCTAGGCATCCCACTTGCTTTGTCTTTTGAAAGGACCTTGGACATATTTAAGGAAATGGCACAAAAATGATTTTGTAAACCAGGTTATGGACACTGCCCAACAGAAACAGATTAATTAAAAGAACACAATAGCCAACCAGACCACTTTATCTCAATTAAGTCTTTATGGGTGCCATGACCCTGTCTGTTTAAAGGAACACTATAGGGTCAGGAACACAATCATGTATTCATGACCCTATAATTTTAAAAACACTATCTTGCCCTCCTGGCCCCTCTTTCCACCCTAAATATAGTAAAAGCTTATCTTTATTCCAGTCTGCTGGTGTTGGCACTGCCCCTGATCTGCCTCCTTGGCTGACATCATCAGAAGTGATGATTTTAGCCAATCACAATGCTTTCCATAGGAAAGCATTGGATTGGCTGAGATTGTCAATTCTGATGATCTCAGCCAAAAAGGTGGGCTGGGAGAGGGGGGTGGGGCACAAACCACTCTGGTCAATCAGTATCTCCTCATAGAGATGCATTTAATCAATGCATCTCTATGAGAAAAGAAATGCCCTAGGAAGCACCTCTAGCAGCTATCTGAGAGTGGTCAGTGGAGGTATCCCTAGGCTGTAATGTAAACACTGCATTTGCTCTGAAAAAACAGTGTTTACAGCAAAAAAACTGCAGGGACTGATTATTCTCACCAGAACAACTACCTTAAGCTGTAGTTGTTCTGATGACTATAGTCACTTTAACTTTGCAACTGAAAACATTGCAGTTCTGTAGAAATGGTGATCATTACATTGCAGAGTTGACATGCCTACAGTGTCTATCCAGTGGCCTCATGGCCCCATAGCAACTTAATTTAAGTAAATATCCATAGCTGCTTAGTGAATAGACTCAATACAGTTTATATACTTTGTGACTTGTCCTGTTACACTATTGATAATGATAATAAGAGGGGCGGAGCGTAGCTACTGAGCTGAACGGTCGAATGTCTTACTCCAAGCTACCTGATGATTTCTCCTCAGGGGAAGAGGCAGCTGACTTACCTCCGTTGCATATACCAGCACCGGTCGCCCAGAAAGCCCATACTTTACCGGTGACGACAGCGGTTATGAAGTCGCTCCTTGCCGACCTCCAAAAGACCATCCAGTCAGACGTAGCCTCGCTCCGTGTAGACATCCACGGCCTGACAGAACGAATCGGATGCTTGGAGTCAGCATCAGGCATCTGCACTGATCAAATAACCTCACTACAACAAGCAGTCCAGGGGCTTCAGCGACAAAATGTGACATTCGAGCGCCGGTTTGCGGCACTTGAAGACGCATCCGTGCCAACAATCTGAAAGTCTGGGGCATCCCAGAGGACACCCCAGCGGCCGAACTACCACATTTGTTGCGACGCTTACTGGTAGCCCTGCTCTCACCTAGGCAGGCTAAGGCGATACACCTGGATGGCTTCTTCCGGACCCCGAAGCCAGCAAAAGCACCTAACACGGCACCTCTGGACCTCATTTTAAAGTTCCAGCAACACAAAGATAAAGCTGCAGTCATGGCAGCGACCAGAGACTGCGCACCATACCAATTTGAAGCGATGGACCTAACGTTTTATGCGAATCTTACTGGGGGCACACTTGCCTGGCGGGAATAGCTCAGGCCATTCACTACAATCTTACGACAACATGGAATACAATACAAATGCCATCTGACCCGCATGCTGTTGATCCTGCAAAACATATTGCATGTGATCTCCAAGAAGCAGCAGCTTTATTACCCACCCTGGGGCTACCGATGGACTCTCTTCACCCCGCCACGACCCATGGATCTACAACACCAACCCATCAATAGAAGCCGGACAGGGTGGCCCCCTTTGTCCCACGTGGATCTAAGCGAGACTATACCCAATGGCAAGTACCTGAAGCAAACACCAGAGATCATCAGTTTTGATAGCTAGTTTACCACGTTATATTACTGTACCTTTAGTACCCCTATGAAAAGATGATCCATTGACCATATTATTTCTCCAACCCCCTCCCCCCGCCTGAACCCAGTTATTCTTGGACCCCACGTACCATACAACCATAACCAGGCGTAATATTTCACAGCATGCAGTGCATCTCCTCCCTTAGGAAGTGCCCAAGCGAATTTCACTTCAGCGGTAGTACTGTTCCGAATGTACCACATGTGTCCACTGTATTTCTATATAGGCTGACTCACATCCACACAAGGGTCAAATTTAGGACTCCTCTGCCATCAGCCTACCCAGAATACAGAGCTCTTTACTTTAAAGCTGGGGCATTCCGGTGACCAGTGGCTTTTACACACTGCCCGTCACTTTAATGCACACACCTGAGCATATAACTTTACCCAGACACTTCCTCTTATACGGCACTTAGACTTCAATGCCTAGTTTCCTTATTGTTTAGCCTCCTGGGCCAGTGTATCCAGACAAACTTTGAAGTGCTACCACCTTAACTGCCAGCTAGCCATGCCCACTATTTTACCATAATATGTCCTTCTTGACACCCGACTAACAGTGCGTGCTTCCCCTATTGCCCCCTGCTACTCACCTACTTTTTCTTTTCACATAAAGAGGCTAGAATAACCTTAACATGACTTACAGCCCAGTAAGTTCTCTGTACTCTTGTGGATATATCTCCATACCCATGTGATTACATATTTTGCCTTGTATTGCCATGTTATACTTATATTATATTCTCACGTATTTAAAAAACGTGCAGCTATCTAGACATTTACTGATATCAACCTGCCATTGTTAGGAAGTGTATATTACTGAGAAATGTTCAAGTTCTTCTGTATGATACGCTATGCACTACAAAAATAAATAATTACATAAAAAAAAAAAAAGGATAATAAATTAATTTACAGCAGAGCTTAAAAACCCCCAAGTTAAGAAACAGGAAGTATTTTAATAGCTTTCCGTTTTCCTTGGTTTAATCAGCTGTCTTGGCCATCAGTTCTGCATTAATTTTACATCATCTACAATAAATGTGTAATTAATAGGTTACTGAGGGTTTAATCCAGGAAATAAGTAATTTAATTACCATCCTTCACATGACATAACATGTTAAACTAGAAATCTATTATTATATATGGTGAACACATACCACATACTAAAGAATCAAAGTAAAAAAAATTTATCTAAAGAATTCAAATAAAAAATAAAATAAACAAACACACATTATAGAAACATAGAAACATAGAATGTGACGACAGATAAGAA